TAAAAAAAAAATTAACAAGATGCAAACATATCCCATAACCAGAGCAATAAATCAACAGAAATGATTAAATCAATCACTCGAACTAAACAAAGAAACAATAGGGGTGATGGAATTAGCAGACAAGAATGTTAAAAGCTCCACCATAGAGATGTTTCATAGACAGACAGAGGAAAATATGAACAAGATGACAAGTAAAATGGAAGACAGAAATCAGGACTGGAATGGAACCTCTAGAGATGAAAAATAGAGGATCTAAAGTAAAAACTTCAATGCACAGGATTAACTAGATTAGACACTGCAGAAGAGTTCTAGTCTAATCCACTATGTCTAAGCATACAACTGTTACATGCCATGTTCCCTCCTCTATAAAACTCATTTACTCTGGGTTCTATCCATAACTATAGGTCTGACGCCAACCACCAGGCTTCATGTTAATCTATAGTCATTCACTCATCTAAACATCTGTAGTCTCTATTCACTTCCTCAGGAAGGACTCATGGAAACAATATCTTCTGAGCTCCTGCTCATTGATAAGTTTGTGTCCTTTTTTATCTGAAAAATAGTTTTGCTGGACCATAAAATCCTTGGCTCACATTTTCTTTTCTTAGGTGCCTTAAATATGTTACTCAGTTTTCTTCTACTTAAGGCCTTATTGTCAAGTCTGATAATAAACTCATTTATTTTCCTTTATAATTATTATTAGTCTTTTCCAAGACCCAAAGCTACAAGTTAGTTCTTTTAAAAAAGACTAATTAAGAATATAAATCTGACAAAATACATCCAAAATACAGAAAAGATACAAATAACCAAACTCATGAATAAAAAAAGGAGCAATGCTACCAATTCTACAGAAATGAAAGTAAATACAAAAAGTCATTATGAAAACCTATTAAGTTACCTTTCAATCAAGCAAATACCTTGTATTTACAACATTCTTTTTTTAATTTGGCCAAGCCATATGGCATGTGGGACCTTAGTTCCCCAACCAGGGATCGAACCCATGATCTCTGCATTGGAAGCACAGTCTTAACCACTAGAGCACCAGGAAAGCCCCTACAACATTCTTTTATTTCTACATATCATCTGTCAACTGAAAAACCTGAGATTAGAATTTACCAAGATGTTCATGTTTACATTTTTTAATCTACTGGTATTTCCAAGCATAGTGATGGGTTTCATTTTAGAAGCTAATTTTTATGCTGAATCATTTTAAATTGATGATTAGAAGAAAAGAAAATTTTAATATGAGTTGAAATACTGATATACCTAACAACTTTGTTGGGCCTCAAAAGCATTATACCAAATGAACAAAGCTAATTTCACAAGGTCACATACCACATCACATTCTCAAAATAACAAAATTATGGAGATGGAGAACAAAGTAGTGCCAGGGGTCAGAGATGGTAGAGGAAGGGTGCATACAGACGGACAGCAGGAGGGAGATGGAGCACTTCTGGATCTCAATTTTGACGGTTACATAAACAGACACATATGATAAAACGGCACAGAACCAGGCACGCGTTACACCAATCTCAGTTTCCCAGTTTTAGCACTGTCCTAAAGTCACCTAAGACTGTAACACTGAGGGGGTCTGGGATGACAGCATACAGTCCCTCTAGTTCATTTGCAACTTCCTGTGTGTCTGTTAATCTTTCAAAATAAAAAGTTTTAAAAATTGTTTCACACATATCTAACTTCATGTTTCACTTCAAAGAACCAAAAATAGAAACGCAGAGAATCATGGAGTACAGCTTATGCAAAAAAGAGCAGGATAATGCCATTCCTGACCCCATGCTCCAAGACACACCTTTAACCTTACATCAAGACTAGAAAATAAGTACGCATATATCTTTCAAAAATAAAATTTTTTAAGGGATTATGTACTATTTTTATAGTTCTTTCCCTTAATTTACTTTTCGGTTCACCAAAGAAACTACCAATCACAACAGACAGGATTTTACTGTAAATATACAAATGGTAATGGCAGTGATTATGTAACAAATGTAACAAACACTTCTGAGCTCTCTTTTTTGTTGCTTCCTCAAGACAACTGTGGAGGAAACTATGACAACGGAACTCCACACAACAACCAGGAAAGAAAATTGAAGAAACAAGAAGCATTATATGTGTAAAAACCAGATACATGCCAGCCATGTAACAGGCACTCCACAGGTTGCAAGGCCCCAGGCTTGAGGCATCTAAATATCTCTGATGGAGAAAGTCTAGGATTAGTGTCTATATCCTCAATAATATGTACATATTAAAACTTTTCAGTCTCCAAAAACTTTTTCTTTCAAAAATCACTAAAAACCTCAAGGGCATTTCAAATAAAAATAGCCACAGAAAATACATTTGCTAAACCTTATGACTAAAAAACATGTTTCTACCCCACATACTATTCATTAACCTGGTATCAATCCTGTTCCCGATACAAAAGCCCTACCTAAGGAATGGGACACTTCTCACTCCAGGTGGAAGAGATACCCCCAACTAGATAAGGGTAAAACCTGTCAGCATAAGGTCTGCATCCACAGCATGTGTCTTCAGGAAGGATTCCAAAGAGTAAACTACATCTAAGTTATTCCTTCAGTTCAGGTCAGTTCGGTCGCTCAGTCGTGTCTGACTCTGCGACCCCACGAACCACAGCACGCCAGGCCTCCATATCCATAACCAACTGCCGGAGTTTACCCAAACCCATGTCCACTGAGTCAATGATGCCATCCAACCATCTCATCCTCTGTCGTCCCCTTCTCCTCCTGCCTTCAATCTTTCCCAGCTTCAGGGTCTTTTCAAATTCCTTAGGGTAAAACAACATTCATTCCTCACACTTAATAAGCACCACTGGAAAAATTGTATAAACCAAGATCAGCAATCACTTTTTTCACACTATTTTCACATTTTTCTCACAACTTCAATAACCATACCACATTTCGCCTCTGATGCACAATCCAAAACCTAAGTCTTATCACTTATTCCTAGGAGTTTGGAAGACTTTTGTATAGTACTCAAACGTCTAAGAAGCACCAAACACTTTATATTACACTAAATAAATCAAAGGAAAAATGGTAAGCACTTGAAGGTATAAGTGCTATTTTCTTTAACATGTATATTTGCCTGACTCATCACTGGCACTCAACATTAAACTCATTTTTTTTAATACTAAGTATTTTATTGTATGCTGCCATCAGCGTATATAAAATAATTACCCTTGTGAAACAGAAAATTCAGAGGTAGGCATTAAGGACTTACAAAAGTAGAAGTTTGCATAGTACAGCACGTTACAGAGAGGCTTTTGTACAGGCTTAAAATTTGGCTTTCCTTTGAATATTCACTGGTTTATGAAAAGTGGTTTGGAAAATCTTGTCAAGATTCGTCTTACTACAAAAAGGAACAGACCTTCTGGGGCCTGAAGGGATTTGTCCTTGAAGATACTCCAGTCAGCAGAGGGTCATGTTGAGCATTCTACAGACAGAACTGTTTCAAATCTGCAACTGCCTGGGAAACCTCCACCTGACTGATTGAGCCCGGCCTCCAGCCGGAGCTGTTGAACCACTTTTTTCATAGCCACAACTGTGGATGAACCAGACATGGCGCACTCAAAAGGATGGCAGATCCGCGGGCCGTCAGCAGGTCTCTAAACTCATTTTAGGTCAAGATGCTAAAATTCATATTAAGCAGTTATTAGATTATGATTGCTAACAAAAAAGAAACTTCATGAGGTAAAGTTCTTTACTTAAGTTTTATATAAAGACAATTCTTCAAGTCAGTTTGTCTGGATGTCATAAATAAAAAATTATTCATCTCTCACCTCCCCCAACCCTGCTGGGGAAAAAAAGTTACTTCTATTCCAATTCATAACCCAATTCTTCTTGATTTTCTTATCTAACATTATGCCATTAGTAACAGTTCCATCATCCACAACACAGCTCTTAACATTTAGCTCTGCCACCAACTAATACTCAACACTTAAAAAGAATTTACGGACTTCCTTGGGGGGTCCAGTGTCTGAGACTCTGCACTCCCAATGCAGGGGGCCCTGGTCTGATCCCTGTGTAAGAGAACTAGATCCCACATGTTGGAACTAAAGAGTTAACATGCCGCAACTAAAAGTCCCAAATACCACAACGAAGACCCAGGGCAGTCAAATAAATAAATAAATATTAAAAAAAAAAAAAAACTTAAGAGGGGTAATAATGCTTCACTTCAAGTGTCTAAGATCAATTGCTTACAGAACATATGACTTGCATCATACACTTCATAAGACTGCATTTAAACAAGGTTAAGATTACTTGAGAAATACTTAAAATAGTTAACATCAGGGAAGAGAGAAAGAACACAAATACACTGCAAAATTATTTCAGCAATTTCTGAGGGCAATAGAAAGTTACAAAAGCAGTTTTTCCATTTGCAAACAAAACTAATGGGATAAAAAACAGACTACAGAAACATTACCGTTACTGTTTATTGATAATTGCTCAGTAAGTTTGCAATTATCTTAAAAAATAATATTAGAAAATCTATGGTGAACATTTTGTTTTCACATGCTTTTGATACTCCTCTTAAGAATAGTGACAAATAAAAACAAACAGCTCAACTGAACTCGTTTCTCCAGAAACACAAACACAGACTCCCATAAAAATGAGCTGAGTTTCTGTATGTCACTTCTCTACCACATAATTAACTAAACATCTCAAAAAGTATCACTAATCTGTCACCAAGATATGGCTAAGAATGATACAGACCTCTTAAAAAAAAAAGAAAACGTTTGTATAACTTTATCTCAAGTTTCGTGCATTTATAAATAACTGTAATTAAAATGTAGCTACACACTCTATGAAAAGAACAATAAAAAGTACATTTTGAGTTATAGAAAATAAACCTGCTTCTCTAATACAGCAAGATCAGATCTGCATGCCCTTATATAACCTTAAGAAAGGGTTAACCAGAAATGTAACTATGTAGGTAGGAACACAAGAGAAAAAAGGTTGTCAAAACCCCACCTGTATATCTGTTTTCAACCATTTGGAGTCAAGTCGAGCCTGAGCAGCCAAACAAAAAGACTCAGAAGGCATCTTTCCCGAGTTCCTCCCAGTCGAGAAACCTGCAAGCAAGGAATATTACTCAGCCATAAAAAAGAACAAAACAATGCCATTTGCAGCAACATGGACCTAGAGATTCTGATACTGAGTGAAGTCAGAGGAAGACAAATATCATATATTGCTTATATATGTAATCTTAAATAAAGCTACAAATGAACTTATCTACAAAACCAAAATAGAGTTATAGGTGTAGAAAATGAACTTATGAGGGGGCAGGGGTGATAAATTGGGAGATTGGGATTGAGTAGCACATATAAAATAGACAATTAATAAGGACCTACTGTAGAGCACACAGAACTCTACTCAACACTGTAATGGCCTGTATGGGAAAAGAATCTAAAACGAGATTGAACACATCGATATGCCTGATTCACTTTGTGTACAGCTGAAACTAACACAAACACCACCATAAATCAACTATACACCACTAAAATTTTTTTTTAAAACCTGCAAGTAAAACAGAAATATTGAAGACCTAAACCTCCTCAGAATTCTACAAAGTCCCTCCCACAGGTTTAATGCAGCAAAAAGAACAGAAAGGGAGAGGAGGAGCGCTGGGGAGAGGGGAGTGAGAGGACGAGGGAGAACGAGAAAGGGAGGGAGGAAAAAGCCGACTTCGAGTCCGGGTAAGCGACTCACAGACGGGGTTCGCCCGCGTCTATATTACATGGGCAAGACCTTGAGAATGGACGGTCACTGAGACCAAATCACAATGTCATTTCCGTCCCTTAAATCCAAAAGATTAACACACAAACTGCAGGAACCCCATGTCTTCAGGACAAATGACACCAGCATGCATTATCCGCTTTACCTCAGACCAGCAACTGATGCGTGAAATAAATTAATCAAAATTCACATCTGCAGAAAAATCCAAAACAATAATCACTTGGAAATGAAAAGACAGCCTGAGACGCGCGCCAAAGGCGGTCAGCGCAGGCCCGGGCCCAGCGGCTGTGCCAACGCCCGCCGTGGCCCGGCTTGGCCCGACCCCGGCCCGCACCGCACCAGCGGCCGGCCGCCCTCGCCGCACCCCCGCCACCCGGAACACGAAGACCGTACGGCACTGCGCCGCAGGCGCCTAGCTCCCGCGCGTGCTAACACAGACCAGCCGCCACTGGCTCCGCCGGTCCTTGCAATCCCGGCGTCTCTTGCGGCCGGGGGGGCGGGTCGACGGCTAAGGCCCACGACGCTCAGCCAATTGCATTGAGGTGTCTCCGCGGGCCCAGCCATTGGGAAATAGGAACCTGCTCGCCCCTCCTCCCGATTCTCCAATTTCCTTCTATCCGGCTCGTCTCTTCCTTAAGCGCACCGTCTGCGGTCAGGGCCAACCCTAGACGCCGAGAGGCGGGATTTCCGCCGTATGCACGCACACACGCACGCGCTCCTCACCCCGGCTTCGCCCTGCGCTGTCAGAAAGCCGTCCAATGTGGGGAACGTCTAAGACACCAGACTAGTACAGGAACGTGCGGCCTGGACTGGCGCTGGGGCTAAAAATGAGACTGATTGGGGTCTGCAAGAGCCTCTTCCTGCTTGTCGACTGAATGCTGCTGAAACGCTGGGCAGAATACGTGGAGTAGCTGGTGACAGCGGAATCCGAAAAGGAAGCGAGAGCTTTTAGTTCCACAACCGGTAGCCGAAAAACTAATTCTTAAGAAGTGCAAAACAAATTTATGTAAAGTATGTTCTTAGATCGTAATGTCAGTCAGTCAGTTCAGTCGCTCAGTCGTGTCTGACTCTTTGCGACCTCATGAATCGCAGCATGCCAGGCCTCCCTTCAACATGCAAGCATATTACTAGATGCAAAAAATTTTAGACAACTTTTTGCAAATGGATTCCACCAACATACAGAAATAATAGCACAGCTTAACTAAATGGAGTTTATTCCAAGAATTAAAGATTGATTAACCATCCAAATCTAAGTGTAATTCACCATGAGATGATCTCAACAGCAAGAAAAACAAAAGCTTTTGACGAAACCCAACATCTCGTTATAAAAACTCAGCAAACTAGAAAGAGAACTCAACCTGATAATGAACACTTGTGAAAACCTGCCTGCGTGCTCACTTCAGTAGCACATATACTCAAACTGGAACGATACAGAGATTAGCATGCACAAGGATGACAAGCAAATTTGTGAAGCATTTCATATTTTTAAAAATAAATGACCCAATCAAAAAATGGGCAAAAGAATATACAGGTTTCTCAAGAGGCAGGTCAGGTGGTCTGGTATTCCCATCTCTTTCAGAATTTTCCACAGTTTATTGTGATCCACACAGTCAAATCATAATGTAATTAACTCCAAATCATTAAAAGATACAGGCCATGTGATAAACCATAATGGAAAAGAATGTGAAAAAGAGTGGGTATATATGTATATAACTCAGTCCCTTTAATGTACATCAGGAGACGCAGGAAACTCAGTTTCAATTTCTGATTTGGGAAGATACCCTGGAGGAGGAAATGGCAACCCACTCCAGTATTCTTGCGGGGAAAATCCCATGGACAGAGAAGCCTGATGGGCTACAGCTACTGAGACTACACCGCAAAGCTCAGATACTCAAAGATGCAATCCAAAGTTACAGTGCTTTGATGCTGAGATGCTGAATTTAGTTCCCAGGGAAGGAACTCCATAGTGCCCTTTGCTGCTTGGGGTGCAGTCTACCTCTGTAGCAGCTCACAAACAAAACAAATGCTAAATGCTATTTTCACTCTGCCTCTTTTTCATAAAAGCAAAAATTCTCTTTGGGATGTCTTTTGGTTAGCAAAAATGGGTAGTAATATAGGTTTCTTCATAAAAGCAATGTGGAGTAAAATGAACTTTTTGAAAAGGGGTTCCCTGTACCTGAAACAATTGTATACATACAAATTTGACAATTTGTATGAAATGGGTTAATTCCATGAAAGTTGTACACTACTATACTCACTCAAAAAGAAATAGATAACCTGAATAGGACTATACCTATTAAATAAAATTCACATTTAAAAAAATCTTCCAAAAAAGAAACCTCCAGGACCAAATTATTTCATTGGTGGATTGTGGTTCTACTAAATATTTAATAAAGAAGTAACACAAGCTCTTCCAAAAAATTGAAGAGTAGTAAACATTTTCATTATATAAGCCTAACATTATCCTAATGATAAAACCAGAAAAAGGCATTACAAGAAAACTTAAAAGACCAACATGCAAGCATATTACTAGATGCAAAAAATTTTAGACAACTTTTTGCAAATGGATTCCACCAACATACAGAAATAATAGCACAGCTTAACTAGATGGAGTTTATTCCAAGAATTAAAGATTGATTAACCATCCAAATCTAAGTGTAATTCACCATGAGATGATCTCAACAGCAAGAAAAAAAAAAGCTTTTGACAAAACCCAACATCTCCTTATAAAAACTCAGCAAACTAGAAAGAGAACTCAACCTGATAATGAACACTTATGAAAACCTGCCTGCGTGCTCACTTCAGTAGCACATATACTCAAACTGGAACGATACAGAGATTAGCATGCACAAGGATGACAAGCAAATTTGTGAAGCATTTCATATTTTTAAAAATAAATGACCCAATCAAAAAATGGGCAAAAGAACTAAACAGACATTTCTCCAGAGAAGACATACAGATGGCTAACAAACACATGAAAAGATGCTGAACATCACTCATTATCAGAGAAATGCAAATCAAAACCACAATGAGGTACCATTACATGCCAGTCAGGATGGCTGCTATCCAAAAGTCTACAAGAAATAAATGCTGGAGAGGGTGTGGAGAAAAGGGAACCCTCCTACACTGTTGGTGGGAATGCAAACTAGTACAGCTGCTATGGAGAACAGTGTAGAGATTCCTTACAAAACTGGAAATAGAACTGCCATATGACCCAGCAATCCCACTTCTGGGCATACACACCGAGGAAACCAGATCTGAAAGAGACACGTGCACCCCAATGTTCATCGCAGCACTGTTTATAATAGCCAGGACATGGAAGCAACCTAGATGCCCATCAGCAGACGAATGGATGAGGAAGCTGTGGTACATATACACCATGGAATATTACTCAGCCATTAAAAAGAATTCATTTGAATCAGTTCTAATGAGATGGATGAAACTGGAGCCCATTATACAGAGCGAAGTAAGCCAGAAAGATAAAGACCATTACAGTATACTAACACATATATATGGAATTTAGAAAGATGGTAACGATAACCCTATATGCAAAACAGAAAAAGAGACTCAGATGTATAGAACAGACTTGTGGACTCTGGGAGAAGGCGAGGGTGGGATGTTTCAAGAGAACAGCATTGAAACATGTATATTATCTAGGGTGAAACAGATCACCAGCCCAGGTTGGGTGCATGAGACAAGTGCTCGGGCCTGGTGCACTGGGAAGACCCAGAGGGATCGGGTGGAGAGGGAGGTGGGAGGGGGGACCGGGATGGGGAATACATGTAAATCCATGGCTAATTCATTTCAATGTATGACAAAAACTACTGTAATGATGTAAAGTAATTAGCCTCCAACTAATAAAAATAAATGGAAAAAAAAAATAACCGTAAAAAAAAAACAAACTTTGATACTTTCAAAAGGATAAAAATATACATCAAAGGATTAGAATACAGAATCCAGAATAAACATTCATGTTTCTGGTCAATTGATTTCTGACAAGACTATTCAATAATGAAAGGACAGCCTTTTCAATAAACGATTCTGGGAAAACTGGATATCCACATGCAAAAGAATGAAGTTGGACCCTTGCCTTATGTATACCATATATAAAAACTAACTGAAATTAATCAAATCTAAAAGTATAAAACTCTGAGAAAAACACATGGGAGAAAACTTCACCTTCATGACATTGAATTTAGCAATGATTTCTTAGCCAATGACACCAAAAGCACAAGCAACAATAGCAACAAATGGATGAGTTGAATAAACTTAAAGCTTTGCTTATCCCTAATGTTATTTAGGTTCTTACTTCTCATCTGTTTCCCCCACCTAAACCCTTTGAAACTTACAGACTATCATCCAAAACATCTTCAATTGATTTTTTAATATTCTCCTCATGTTACTATTTTAATGAAAAATTTGTTGTCCCCTGTGGAAAAAATCAGTCACTTTTTATTCTCGCACATATGTACATCTTAGGGCATGAAGTTGTTCCTGTCACTTTTAAACCGCTTTTCCTTCTGCTTCATTTAAGAAAACAAAACAAAAACCCAAACTCCTTTGAAAGTGAAAGTTGCTCAGCTGTGTCCGACTCTCTGCAACCCCATGGACTGTACAGTCCATGGAATTCTTCAGGCCAGAATGCTGGAGTGGGTAGCCTATCCCTTCTCCAGGGGATCTTCCCCACTCAAGAATCAAACCAGGGTCTCCTGCATTGCAGGCGGATTCTTTACAAACTGAGCTATGAGGGAAGCCCTTACTATAAGGCTATACCATCATCTGCTTCTGATTGCCATACTCCACACTCCTTTTCATCACCTCTCATGTCCGCTGAAGAACAAGAATCACTCATCCAGTGCCCTAACCTCTCAGTTCCTCAGGACCACCCTTCCTTCCTGCTCCACCTGAGCCGTTAACCACCCTGATCAGTTCCATTCACCAAATCTCCTTGAAGATCACAACTGTGGGCCTCTGACTCTTCAATCACCACATCTTGTCTTTCTAGTTCACTTCCTCTAGTAACTATGCCGATGATCTTCAACCCCTTTAGGAGTCCTGAGTCACATTCTCACTTTTTTTTTTTTTTGCCAAGTTAGATTTTGCAGCCCAGAATATCACTTGCCCATAATCTCTAACCACTTGCACCCCTCTCCCTCATTGTACTTCCCTGGGAAACCTCTGCACTGGATGACTCTGCTCCACTCACTTGGAATGTGGCTGAGTTCCTGAGGTACACTACCAAGTATCCACTCAATAGTTCTTTCCGTTCGCCTGGTGCTCCTGGTAC